TCGGCGCCCTGAAGTTGCGGCGCGCTATGGCCGCAGCCGCCCCGACCCGAGACTCGCGAATCCAGCGAGCTGAAAAGGGGGAGAAGCCAACGACCAGCGCCAGAGACAGCCCAAAGGTAAGACGGCAACGCAGAGGGGATGTACTTCCACTCTAGCGAAACCTTGCCTTTAAGGCTTTCTTCTTGCTAGCAAGATCCGAAAAGCATACATATTTTACATAACTTACTTTGCTTATAGCATTAACCAGCTTTTTATTTTTCCAGGAACAAGCGGAGCTACTCTTTGGCGTTTACGCTTTAAAACGTTTTGTGTTTTGTTTAGAAATCTGCAGAACGGACGCTAGTCCAAAACGCCTCTCTGCCCTAACTCGATTTCTCTCCAGCAGAAGTCCAGCTACGGAGCTGAAATGTTATTTCTTGGTTTTATTCCTCTAGACCCAGAATTTTCTAGGTACACTATCGTACCTTAAAAAAAAAAAAGAAGACAAAAAGGCTAAAGAAGTCTTCTACACAGGCAGTTGAGTAGAGGACTTTGTCACTATTTCTCACTTTGCAGTAATCCCCGAGTTAACTGTCCATCCCCCTGGACGCCGAGCAACGGCGCGCGGGGGGGCCCCCCCCCCCCCCGGGGGGGTTGGGGGGGGGGGGGGGGCGCATTGCCCCACGTCCCGCACCGTGCCTTAGGGTGCGAGAGGTGTTTTGCAGGATGGCAGCCAGCAGCACTGCCTGCCCGTGGGGTCAACGCACATCTGGCCGGGGAAGCAGAATCAAACCTGCGCTGGTTTCAGCAAGGCACAAGCTGCAGGTCCCTGAACCTGACATGGTTAGAAAGCTGCCTTTGGGCACCCATGTCCATGCCAACATCCCATTTTCCTGCTCGTGCTGTGCTTCTGAGGCTGCTTTGCTCACTTCTATAAATGTAAACTAATAACTTGCAAGATCATTTACCTGGCCTCAGTATGTTCTTAAAGGAGCAAGCAGCAAACCTGCTCTTGCACTCTAACAAAAATTGCTAGTTTTTAGGTGAGAGATGCATTCCCTTTGGAGGGGGAGAGCTTACCTCTGCAGCACTGCAGGAGCGACTTGATCTGAGGAACAGGAACTACAGCAGGTTGCCAAATCTGAAAGGAAACAGGATCGAGATCAGTAACGGGTAGAAAATAAGGTGGAAGTAATAACAATTTCAGAGCAGCAGATGAAAGTAATTTCTAAGCAACAATGGAAAGATCTTTAAAAGTGTTCATTTAAAGGTTATGTTTGCTGTGAAAGAATTGACCAGAATAAAGGACAAGGTTTGCCTGTGCATTTGCAAGTGATTCTGCCAGAGACCAGGACTGCAGAAACAAATGAGCGCCTCTGTTTCCCCATCAGGAGAGCCTGTGAGCGTGGGATCACGCTAAAGCCCTTGGCCAAGGAAGAAAAGTGAATTTCTTCAAGACCCCTACCCAGAGGACACCGACCTCAATATTTTTAGTCGCCTGTTTGGTGAAGGGAAACCAGCTGCACGTTTGCTGCACCTCTGCCTCCACAGACAGCAGTTTGTCAGCTGCGGTAAGTTTGGCTGTTTTAGGCAAAAGCTTGGGTTATTAAGCATCATTTTTGTTCTAAAGACCTAACCTCTGCTAGAAACAGCCTGTTTCAGATTTCCTGACTGCATCCTTTCAGCAAGCCTTGCAGAAGGACCAGATGTAATCACAGCCCTTTAGCCCAGGGGTGGGGGGAAGGTGCACAGGGTAGCAACAACTATTTGGAGTACTTTACACAAATGCATCTGAGGGGCCCTAGTGCTCTGGGCTTAACCATGCATTGAGATCCCTTGGTGCAGGGCAGCTCCGCGTTACTGAGAGCTCGAACTGGGCACACGGCAGTCTGAGGGGAAAAAATATCTCTAGGTCTGTGAAAGCCTACTGACCTCAATAACCTTTGTGCCAGGTCTTAAATGTGGTGTTCATCCTTCCTTGTGGTGAATATGATTTTCTTGTCTTCCAGTACCCCTGGAGATATGAATGATACCCGTGCTCAGAGCGATATCAGTGCTGCAGTGGAACTGTTCCAGCTAATCACGTACACTCCCACCTTTATGATGGGTTTACTGTTCAATGTGATGGCTTTGTCATTTCTGTTTTTTAAGGTTAAAAAGCTCACAGAATCTACAGTCTACATGGTAGCCCTTATTTTCCTGGATACTTTGCTGCTGTTTACTCTTCCTTTTAAAATCATTTCCTATCACCTTCAGAACAACTGGAACTTGGGGTCTGTGTTTTGCTCAGCCTTGGAAAGTCTTTACTTTGTAAACATGTATGGCAGCATGCTCATCTCCCTCTGCATCTGCGTAGATCGGTACATTGCTATCTGGCACCCTTTTGTGGCTCCCACTGTGCGATCCACGAGGAAGGCCACCATGGTCTGTGCCATCATCTGCCTGGGCACCTCAGCCGGGACTGCCTCTACTTTAAAGCTGCATGGGCAGGACCACAACTTCTCATCGTGCTTCCATAGCTTCTCCAAAAGTACATGGGAGAACATAGGATTGTTTAGCACCTTGGAGACTGCCTTCTTTTGCAGCATGGCAACGATGACCTTCTGCACCATCCAGACCGTCAGGTGTTTGAGAAAGCACAGAAAACCCAACAACTCCCAAACGCACACCAACAGAGCGGAGAAGATAGTGGTTACAAACCTCGTCACATTTTTGGTCTGTTTCACTCCTTACCACGTGGCGTTCTTCTTGTATTTTTTGGTAAGGAATAACGTCATTCACAACAGTTTTCAGCAAACCCTACGAGCCATCCTTCAGGTCACACTTTGCTGGGCAAACTTGAACTGTTGTCTGGATGGGGCCTGTTATTATTTTATCTTAAAGGAGTCTTTGGAAGACTCACTGCAAAACAGTCAAAAAACAGCCAGGCGAAGGCCTTGAGCTACATGCTGAGCAGCAGTCACTTGGGATGCCCTCCTGCAAAGCGTCACCGTGCCAGGCAGGCCTGCCTCTCACTGCAAGCCCGCCTCTCACTGCAAGCCCAGCGAAGGCAGTCGACTGCCGACGTCCTAGGATCAACACATTCCACATGGCAAACAGGCACAGCTCCTTAGGTACAGATGAAAAACCGCTCTCAAGAAAAGGTGACTGTTTAAACATCACTGATGCGTGGACATGCTTTGGTAGATGCTGCAGGGTTTTGAACCACTTACCTGAGTGATTTACTTTAAATATTCAGGTCTGAAAATATCTCAGGAAACACAGAACTAAGACCATTCCCAGGAATCTGCTCCTAATTTACCTATCTTGCCCATATTTTGTATTGGCAATTATGAGTAAAAAGAAATGGAATTATTTTCTATAAATGGTCATACATATCTCTTTGGATGTGATTCCTTTTTACTTTGAAAAAAGCTTTGTTCCCTTAGAAGTGGGAGCAAGAGGGAGGACAGCATTGGGGCACAACTCTGTCTCCCTTCTCACACCAAGCAGCACTTTACTCTGCAAGTAGGTTCACTGGCCAACATGCAGTCCTTGAGCAATGCAGTTTTTCTTCGTATACAGAAGGCTGCAAAGTCTGGCTCTAGATTTGCACCCAGATATCCAGCCTCATGCCTAAAACCTACAGGACAACGTCCCCCAACCGCATCCTTCCTTCCTTCCTGAACGACCCACTAACTCACATCCCCAGATAGCTCAAGTTTACTTTCAGACTGTCCCAGTCCTAGCCTGGACTCTTGCACAGGTCTCATCAGTTCCTCTTCCCCGCTCGCTGGCTTCTCACGTGCCTGTTCTTTCCCACTTGGCTACAAAACCTAGTTTCATGAACACTGCTGCACCAAAAGAGCGTGAAATCACATGGCAAACGCATGAACGTGAAAGAACAAACCGCACCTTACCAGGCAATAAGGCAAAAGCAGCCCTGATCCCCCAAGCAGCAGCCAGCAACATAGGATGCCAGGGGAAAAACAACTTTTAGTGCTCAGCTTCCTCTGAGGTCCTACCAACAAACAAGACAATAAAAAATAATCTGCCGGTTACTTATCAGTACTCCCAGGCACGCAGATAACCCGAACAGCAATCTGCGCTCAGCCTGGAGAGACTGGCTCACTCTGACCGGAGCAACCCTGCGGGCAGCTGGAGCTTCCCGGCATTCTGGCTGTAGCAGGACACAGCAGGGGGCTGCAGTCGAGCCCCGTGGCCGTGCCCCCCCCGCACCAGGCACCAGCCCTCGGCTCTGGGGCAGTCTCTGGTGTCAAGTCGGTGCATATGCTCTGGGCGCAGGTCCAGGCCTGCAGCCCAGCAACACGCCTGCAAGCGCCGAGCTACCCAGAAAAGGTGATGCTAAGGAGCACTGAGTGCCTATCTCCGGTATTCATCAAAAAGAGATTATCAGATTTACCATGATTCATTAACTGACGCAATTAGTTTTCACATTCATGTTGAGCTAGATCCCTGCAATACGTCCTCTAGGCAGGGAAGCTAATCCCAGCCTTTGAACCGTCTTTTCACTGTACGTTTTTGCAAAGGACGATGTACAGGGTATTGATTTCCTCCCAGAGCTAGTGACTTGGCCTTTGGAGACTCCAGCCTGTAAAACTGAAATTTTTTTAAGTAGCTACTTCTGTGCATGAGATTGTACCAAAGAAATCCATTAACTGAGGAAGGAAATACTAACCCAACACAGACATCAGCGTGTGTTGGTGTTTACAACGTCCTTTCAGCATTTGGCTGATGAACTATATTTCTGAGGATACCAGGGCTGCACCTTCATGCTAACGGTGTCCTGCACGTTGCCAGTGTGTAGAGGCCAAACTCATCCACAGCTTCCCACGAGAAGCCCCTCTGCATATCATTGGCATTGGCTCCCTCAATAAACTGAGGATACCTGCGTAGCTTCCCTGTCGGCAGACACTGAATTGTCATCGTTTCTTTGTTCATAACGTTTCCCATAACTAACTGCATCTCAACAGACACGAAGGTTTTTCACTACTGAGATTTCAGGTTCCTGTTGGAAGCAGAGTGAACAAATAATAGAATAAAATAATGCTGATGCAGAAGATTTATTTTACATTTCAAGGTAGCGGGCCATGGGGACTCCACTTTACCTGATAATGACTGCACATAGGGAACAGGGATTTTATCAGTACTTCAAGAGCCAGAAAATGCCAATGTGTGATAGGTAACTGATCTCAATTGCATTTCTATAACCTGAGGCAGCTCCACTAGTTTCACTGAAGTTATTTTGGGACCATACCACCATAACTGAGACCAAAAGCTGACCTGTAGCTTTATACATTCTCTGTTGCTCAGCTGGTTTTGTTTTTTTTTTTTCATTTTTAAGTGCACCTGCTCTTATTTGCTTGTTATCCTGCTGTCCTTTGTCTCACAGATACAAAGGCAAATTGTATTGTAATTTCCCTTAAAGTGCTGGTAGACAGCAACAAGACTCATATTAAATTTAGGAATTTTTGGCTTCTTGGCTTCCTCTCTCTCACCAATAATATACTGCTTAGAAGAGGCAGGAATTTTAGCCAAATTAACTATAGTTAAATTTGTATGAAGGACAAAAACTGCTTCTTAAGGCATTTCTTCTTCTCTCAAACTCTGTCCCATAGGTTTCTCCAGTTTTTCTGACCATTCTTGCTATTCCCCCAATATTGATCTTTTGGGGAAATGAATGCTGCCCGCTCACCAGGTTGAAGCGGCAGCTCTGGCGCAGGGTCCCCACACGCCTGCCTCAGGTCAACATAGCTCCTCCATTAAGCTCTTATACCCTGCATTACACATAGCTCTTAATCTATTTATTCCAGCATTTCTGATTGAAATGAAGAGTCAAGGCAATGCTGGATATATTTGAAAGGTAGTGACAGCTGGAGCTGTTCTTCCTTAGCATCTGGTCTGCTCTTCAAGCCTTTTTGCTGTTTTGGGGGGTGGCGGCTGTGGTGTTAGAATTCAGTCCTCCAAAGCAGTATCTAGCTGCCTAACAATATTTTTGTTAGTTTTACCAAGGATTATTAAGGGACCCTTTGAAAAGAATGGCTGGGCATCATTGTTATTAAACCTGCCTATGAAAATGGAAACGTCTTCCTTCCCCTAAATGTTTCAAATCAGGAATCGAACAGAGATCAAGCACGATTATCAATGCAGGGTATTAATTTTCACAGAGTTCCAGGGGGAAATGAAAATTTTGCAAAGGAGACATTTTCCTCTCAGAAACTTTCTACCAGATCTTACTGCTTTCCGGCCTCTGAACATTCACTCTGCAGCTGCGATCTGGTGTGGCCTGATCCTTTCTGCTCGGGTGGGTCCTGCGACAGCTTATTCACTTGGTGGAGCTTTATATCCAAAGCATGACACTGGGTATCTAGTGACTTCTGTTTGCACAAAAAGCACATTAAAGACATACAGTGCTTGGAAATAACGGAAGAAAACTGAAAACTTGCAGTCTAAAGCCGTTGCAGGCTTCCCAGGCAATGAACTCGCCGGAAGAAAAAGAAAGCAAAACCCAGGATTTGTCTGGAAATGATTCACTCCCCTGGAACTGGAGACTCATTCCTAACAAACATAGTTCTTAGCCAAAACTAAGTTAGTTTATTCTGAAAGAATGGGAATGGGAGGGATAGCTCTTTTAGACCCCTCCATTTGCACTTTCCTTTTGCATTGGGACACTTGGTGAGGATGGGGAGTGAAGCCAGCACTGAAGGCACAGCGGGCCATGGGAGACAGCAAAACCTGCGTCACCGCACCTGGGCCGGGGACCAGGAGCTTTACCCACGTCCCAGGACCTCGGGCAACGTGCACGCACCTGAAGGGAGCTCCTGGTGCGTGGGGGCCAGACGCCTGCTACTGCGAGAAAGCCCCTCACGCAGTTCCTGCCCATTTTCTCTTATTTCAGTATTTCCGATAGCTGAAATAGATGCTTCCCTTCCCTAATGTCATCCCTCAGGTGTAGCTACAGAGTTCAATACAGTTGTTCTCAGCTGCACCTTCCCAAGCTCACCAAGCCCCTTAGCTCGAGGGGCCTTTCACAAAACGCTCTCGGCAGCTGTCAGTTGCTCGCCGAGACCACAGCTTTGTAGACACTCGTCCACGTAAGCGCTCCATTCACACAAGCAGCTTTCTTCTCACTTATTTGCATGTTTCACCAAAAGGCTGGGGGTTGCGTTTCAGTTTCAAATTCGCCCATGTCTTCAGCATTTCATGCATGAAACAACCCAAACGTCCTCACTCAGCTGGGAAAGTACTGCGACTCTGACTCATGTATCCATCAACTCTAGGCATCTGTCCTATGCTTTCCAAATTCGTTTTATTCTAGTGCAGTTCTCAACTCATGCTTTGAGCCCTGTTGGGATTGGGAAGGAGAAACTTTATAAGAAAACATCACTGATAATATTTGCATGTAACCAAGAACATGCCAACCAAAGAGTTTATGCCCCAAAAAGGAGGAGTCAGTGCAGGTCCCAGGCATGCAGCCTCCCCCACGGATTTTGCTGTTGCCTTTGATGTTTTGTGAAAGACAACCACATGCAATGAACAGCACAACATATTTACAATTATTGATGCTGTGTCTATGGTCAGTGATAATGAGGAAAACAGCCCCGAGGGAAGCAAGTCTCAAGAGGGTTGTGTAGACCTGTGCAGAGAGTTTCACAGGCAGACTCTCCTCTCAGAGTGACTGTAACATTTCTATTTTCAGTGGCCAGTGTACAGCCACAGCGGCGAGTGCTGCAGCCCACCCTGCACAGGCGCGTCTTCACGCTCCCTTCCTCTTCACATGGCTCTGGCTTCAGTTATTTACAGGCACTGAATTCTCTGGAAAGGGGGAGACCTTTCCCTCCATCAGCTTTCTTGTTCACTACTAAATTTCCACCATGGCAACCAATGCCAGTGAATCAGTGCCTTTAGCTAGTGTGACAAAGGCAAACTCCCCTGTTAATGCTACTTCATTTTTATCTCATTTAGTCTTCTTATTTTAATTTTTATGCACTACCATTCCATTGAAAATGTGGTAAGCATCACTCATTGTGGGATAAAGCAACTGCTCTGAGACGTTGCCAAATGAGCGCTTTTTTTCCAGAAAGACAATTAATTCCATTTACCGCCAGACAAAACGTAAAGTGGCTGCAATGGCCTTCAGCTTAACAAGGTCTGACCTGACCCATAACATCCTCTTGAGATGCAGGAAGGAGAAGGAACAGCCTGCCAAATCCTTCACTGCTTTGAGGGAAGGTCCCTGCTACAATCCTGAGCCAGCCATGTAGAGCTGAGGGACAGGACGTGG